ATCCCGCTGTTCCCGACCCCGATCCCGCTGTTCCGATCCCAATCCCGCTGTTCCTGACCCCGATCCCGCTGTTCCCGACCCCGATCCCGCTGTTCCCGACCCCAATCCCGCTGTTCCCGGCCCCAATCCCGCTGTTTCCGATCCCAATCCCGCTGTTCCCGGTCCCAATCCCGCTGTTCCGATCCCAATCCCGCTGTTCCCGATCCCAATCCCGCTGTTCCTGATCCCAATCCCGCTGTTCCGACCCCGATCCCGCTGTTCCCCACCCCAATCCCGCTGTTCCCCACCCCAATCCCGCTGTTCCCGGCCCCAATCCCGCTGTTCCGATCCCAATCCCGCTGTTCCCGATCCCAATCCCGCTGTTCCTGATCCCAATCCCGCTGTTCCGACCCCAATTCCGCTGTTCCCGGGCCAATCCCGCTGTTCCCGACCCCGATCCCGCTGTTCCCCACCCCAATCCCGCTGTTCCCGGGCCCAGCAGCGTTTGGGATGAGCCAGAAGGACCCGAGGCTGGGAATCACCAGTGACACCCCCTTTCCATGGTCCTGCAAGGACCTGAGGCCAGGAATCACCACTGAAATCCCATTCCAAGATCCTGGAAGGGCCCAAGGACATGGATCTGCACTGACAGCTCCATTCCTCAATCCTGCAAGGACCTGAGGACATGGATCACCATTGACAACCTTTCCTCAATCCTGCAAGGACCTGAGCACATGGATCACCATTGACAACCAACATTCCATGATCCTGCAAGGACCTGAGAACATGGAGCACCACTGACAGCCAACATTCCATGATCCTGGAAGGACCCAAGGACACGGATCAGCACTGACACCCCTTTTCATGATTCTGCAAGGACTCAAGGCCATGGATGAGCACTGACACCTTCTCCACAACGCTGCAAGGACCCAAGTTTGGGAATCGCCACTGACACCCCCTTTCCACAACCCTGCAAGGACCCAAGGCCGTGGATCAATACTGACACCTTCTCCACAACCCTGAAAGGACCCGAGGTTGGGAATCACCAGTGACACCCCTATTCCAAGATCCTGAAAGGACCTGAGGACATGGATCAGCACTGACACCCCCATTCCCCAATCCTGCAAGGACCTGAGGACATGGATCATCACTGACATCCCCTTTCCATGATCCTGCAAGGACCCGAGGCCATGGATCAACACTGACACATTCTCCACATCCCTGGAAGGACCTGAGAACATGGATCAGCACTGACACCCTCTCCACAGCACTAGAAGGACCCAAGGCTGGGAATCACCAGTGAAACCCCCTTTCCATGATCCTGCAAGGACCCGAGGCTTGGAATGGTCATTCACACCCGCATTCCTCAACCCTGCAAGGACCTGAACACACGGATCAGCACTGACACCCCCATTCTGTAAGCCTGGAAGGACCCAAAGCCATGGATCAGCACTGGCACCTTCGCAACAACCCTGCAAGGACCCGAGGCTGGGAATCACCACTGACACCCCCTTTCCATGATTCTGCAAGGACCCAAGGCCGTGGTTCAATACTGACACCTTCTCCACAACCCTGCAAGGACCTGAGAACATGGATCACCATTGACAGCCAACATTCCATGATCCTGGAAGGACCCAAAGCCGTGAAACACCACTGACAGCCCCATTCCTCAACCCTGCAAGGATCCAAGGCCATGGATCAGGACTGACACCCCTGGCCAGCACAGAGCAGGAATGGCCAGCACAGAGCAGGAATGGCCAGCACAG